CTCAATTTGATACTTTAAAAATTAGTATATATTGTTTTAAACACAAAAGAGCTTAAAACATGAAACTAAGAAAATACCGTAAATAAAAAAAAAGGTTTCATGTTATTTAATTTGGTTCAAAACCTACAAAATCTTCATTGCTTTCACTGTAATTGAATGTGTTATTTATAACAATAGTAGTTTTTTCTTTTAAAAACATAACTATTTATAATGCTCCCTAAATAATAAAAAATAAATTGAACTAAACTATGCATGCCTATTTAAATATATTTACACATGGCTAGTGTATATCATATATATATATATTATTCATACCATCGTGTATAGGACGCAAGCAGATTTTGACATCAAATTTTGGGGTAAAAAAAGTGTGTCTTTTTACCAAAAATACGGTATATGGTCTTTCTGCTTTATGCATAGAAGGCTTCCAACATATGCCTGCTTAGTATTGATGGGATTCTCCCTGGTATACATCCCTAAGAATTTACTATTATCTTGTATTGGGTGGTGGAGTTTCCTGGCATCAAAACAATATGGTAAATCTTGCATGGGCCTAAAACATTTTTAACTATTCATCTTTTTTACTTCCACATCTCCTGGTAAACTCTAAGAGGGTTTCTAAACCTTTTTACGGGTTTCTTGTAAGATTGATATGGAAATAGCTATCTGATTGAAGCATTATGGGAGAAATTATGGCCACCATGCCAATATCATTTTTTTTTCTAACACAACAACCCAGGTATTTAATGTATAGAGAGAGGAATATGGCTTAGAGCATGTTCATACTTCTTTAATATTTTATTTCTAGTGTACTTGAAATTTTTGAGTTTTTCTGAATCGGTAGATAAATGAAGTGGATCACTAATATATAAATTTTCTATTCCTGACATAGTTTTGAAGCTGGTCTGTATAATATTACATTTATATTAAAATTTGGTGAAGTAAAAAAACACATGTAGAACAGTTATGTTAAACTTGAGTATATTACACAATTGGTGCAGTGCAAATATGAACTAAAATTATATTTTAAAACTTAGAAATATAATAATATTATTTCTTCAATAGCTAATGGTGCTTATTCCTATTGGTATTATAAATACCTGCCTTACTTCATCTTGATAAACTATTCAGCATTTAGGACAATATAATAAGCTATTTTTATCTAAGAATAACATTTGCAAACCATTTTGCTATACATTACAACGAGGGAAAGTTATAATTTTTAAGACTACTACGTTTCATTGTTACATTTGCCAGGAGATGGCAGTATTGATTCTGACATTAAAAACGTAATTCATTATGTCTTCTACACCGAAGGTTGGGAAACCTCCAGTACGTGAAGAGTGCGGTGAAACCTTGTTTAACCTTTCTGTTATACTTTGAGTCTATTCGACCCGAGACTGGTTTCCATGATGTCTTTACTGGCAAAACCATGGTCGTAAATAAAAGAGGTTTTTGTGAAACCTACTGTTGTCTTTGTTTGTTTTTTCTTCAAACTGTAAAATATTATTGTATATGCTCTACTTGATGTATATATTTCATAATGAAGTAATCTATATGTTTTGATTTTAACCCTTTAAAAACAATACTATTTAAATATAAAACCTTGTCTTCATTTTTTTGCTTTAAAATATTTAGAATCACTGTAAATTGTATAATCCGTGATCGAAATTGTTAAAATATAAATAGATTACTTGCATAATAAATGATAAAAACACAGCAAATTTTGAAAATAAGAAGATCCGAAGAGTAGTGAAAACCACAAAACTGGTTCTGTAACGAGCAAATAACTTTAAATAACTGTAAAAGTTGAAAGAAAGAATAAAACGATCTGTTGTATGAAATATAATATCCATGGGAAAATGAAATTTGAATTGTCCAATTATTATCATTTTATATATATATATATATTTTTTTTTTTGTTTCCTGCACATAGTACTTTGAATTTTCAGTTAAGCCTGAAATTTTATGTTATGGACAACACACAAAGAAATTATGTATCTCTTTCAAAATGTATTATAGTTGTCTTAACTTTATCTACACCCAACACATAAACACTGATGATTTGTTTTAGACTTTTCATAATAAAAACAATATTATTGTTCAATGTTTTATAACTGCAGAACACAATGTTGTAGAAATTGTACAAGTGAACAATCGAAACAATGGGAGAACATTTATCAATTAAAATTTATTGAATATTTAACTTCACTTATCAAAACAGTCAACAACAATACAGTTAATAATGCATTGGAACACAACTTTGCTGCTTTTATCAAAAACATCATACAATTTTAAATCTCAAAAATGTTCCTTAAACTAATTATATAAGGATGATTTATTGTTTCGTTTGTCTGTGAACTGTAAAAGAAATATTAAATACACTTTTCATTTATAACATGAACACTTCAACATTTATTTACTAAACAGAAGTAGTATTGTATTTACAGTAGGGTTGTGTCTATTGGATATCAATTGTTGTCAGGGTTAGTCTACTTCACAATCACCTAGTTTGTTTTCAATATCATGCAAAGCTACACGAGGGCTATCTGCACTAGCCGTCCCTAATTTAGCAGTGTAAGACTAGAGGGAAGGCAGCTAGTCATCACCACCCACTGCCAACTCTTGGGCTATTCTTTTACTAACGAATAGTGGGATTGACCCTCTTATTATAATGCCCCCAAGGCTGAAAGGGTGAGCATGTTTGGTGTGACGAAGAGTCAGACTCGCGAGTCGAGCACCCTAACCACTTGGCCATGCCGGGCCCACAATCACCTAAGTGTAATTATTAATTAGTAACTTTATATAAAAAAGTTACAAATTAATAATTACACTTAGGTGATTATGAAGTCTACTAACATTGACAATGACGGAAGTGATAATTTTTTATTAATCACTGTTTGTTAAAGCCAGTTATCTTAGAATAATTAAATGTAGGTGACAAAATGTTGCAGGTTTATACATTTTGTAAAGTAAAGTAAAGGAACCAAACAGCCAACAAGTCTGTTTGTTTGGTATAGCTAACGAGCAATATTTTCTGTATTAATTTATTTTTTGTTAGCTGTAAATTCAAGTTAGTTTTACCATATTCTTCTTCTTCTTAATACACAGTAGAAAATATTACAAGACATGGAAAAATAATGAAAAAATGTTTCCATGCAACACAGTTTATACTGCCTGACAAAGAAAGGGCTTCTGCCTGAAACGTTGCAAGTAATAATTAAAAAGCTTTTGTTATAGATGTGTGTCTTAACATTTTTGTACATCTTTTTGTTCTTATTATTAATAAACAGACAGTTGAGTTAAACTCTAAATAGGGACAGCATTTGACTATATATAATTAAATTTTTCTACCATCTAATGCACATCACTTAAGAAAATTCTATTTAGAAGGAATTAGGCAATTTAGTTGTTATTTCTATGCTACAAAAAATGTCTTCAGTACTAAACAAAAGTTACAGCTAACAAAACTTTTTTTTTTTAATTTTATTAAAGATTCGGTTTCTTGGTGGAAGACATGGTTAAGGAAATATGTGTTGTTGTGTTTGATATCTGGTGGACTTTTGATGCTGTTAGGGATTATCTTCATTGGAATCTATCTCACCCTTCGGACCTACACCTCATCTTTACAGTTCTTTGAAACGGTTCCAACTTATGTTCCTGCAGTGGTGGTAAGTGTTTCTTGCAGATCTATGGAGTAAAGTTAGAAAAACTCAATTTTTCATACACTATATACGTTTGAGAACTTTTTGTTTTAAAACAAACTCATACAAAGCATTTGACAGTACATCATGACAAATTTTAATGTACAGTTCTTTTGGCTTTCTATAATAAATAATTTATAGTGTACTAAAATAGTAGATTATAATCGAGTGTCTGCTTCCTCTTCCATAGTTACATATGCCAGATTTGTTAATTATTTTCATAATGCATTTATCATATCTGTCTGTCTGTGTTTAATAAATTACACAAATTATCAATACTAACAATTCACTCATTAATTAAGACTAAATGGATCATGAAAAAATATAAATGAAACAAAATATTTGTGACTCACTTGTGTTAGGTATAATGTGTCATCCATCTTATAATATTTGAATTTTGCTTAAATAAAAATTTGCAATATAGGAATAGAAAAAACTTGCACAGGAGTACAATACTTTTAAACCATTACTTTAATTGTTTGTTTGGTATCTATTTTTCTCTTATTTTTTCCCACATCACAAAAATATCTTAGAAGTAACTGTTAGTAATCTTTATTTTGTAAAACCATAAGTATTTTAAATACTTATGGTATTGTTTTGAGAATGTATTTATGGTAAAGTATTCATATTCAATTACACATCTACAAGAAAATTCGTAGTTTATCAATACTGTGAACGTCTTTCTTTGAAACAGAATATATACTAGATTATTTAAGATTATTCAGTGTGGCATTTGTTAAAATACAACATTTATAAAGAATTTTATATACTATTCAAGAAATTAGTAGGCATTCCCTTATTAAAAGATCCACTAAAGAACTGTTTCCAAAGAGACTAATAAAACTAGTTAGGTAATTGTCATGTATAAATGTTTTTGTTAGGATGCAGAAATATGAATTGGATAAAATAAATAGGAAATAATTATTATTATATATTACTTATTATATGTTTGTTTTAATATATATATATATATATATCAAGGGTAAATGAAAGATAATATATGCACGTAACAGATGTTTTAAGCTACATTATTAAGTAAAGATTGAATGCTTTTCAGCATTAAATATGATAAATATTTATATGCATTACTTTCAAAAAACAGATGGCACTGCTCTTTGGGGATCATTTATTTCATTCTTAATTTATATAAATTCCAATTACTAAGGCAGCAGTAAAATTTCATTAAAAAAAATTGTTTCACTGTAACTTTTGCAATGTCATAACTCTTTAGTAATTGACAAAAACTGATGGATTAGTATATAATCCTTGCACTTTTTGTTGTCATAATTTATAGCATTTTGTCTTTTCCAGCTTATAATTACAGGATTGATGGTGATGTGTTTTGCCAAGAGAAGAAATCGATATGCTTATTTGGTATGCAGTCATCCTCATACTTTCTACATGTGCAAGTTAGTGTAGGCTAGACAGGAGTACTTAAGTTTTTAAATAAAGAGGGTAACCAGGTGGTTTCTTTTGTGATGCATATTGGAGAAAAAAATAACAAAAGTCGAGATTGTTTCTAAAAGATCTAATATCAACTATTTTTATCTGTTTTTCTTTTCCTGGAGAATTAAGTTAGATTATGGGTTCATTTTATAATAATTTTTTTCCCACGTTTTTAATCATATCAATAAATTAAATTACACAGAAATCAAACTATACAAGAGAGCTCTTTAGTGCTGCTTACTGAAAACAAAATGGTGTAGTTTCAATAAACACATGAAAGTGACTTAACATGTATGATGTTTAACCTATTGACTGCTGATTTACCGTATAGGGTACAGTCTGCCTCCAGCAGATGAATGCGAGTGTGCCGTATATACGGTGTACGGCTTGCAAAATGCTACGAGTTTAGAGCAGCTGCAGTCAATGGGTTAAAATTGCTTTAGTCAGTAATCCAAATACTGAAATGAATTATAAACTGGAGTTTGTTATAAAAGAGATTTTGTCATTTGACAGATCAAACTGGCAGGAGGGTGTTGCTTGATTTGTGCTCTCTTGTGTGTGGTCATCACAGTGACCACAACAGTTGTCCACATGAACAGACTGCAGACCCTTCATAAATGTGTTTACACTCCAATGGCTAAAACTTGTACCTGTGTGTCAGCAATACCAGATCCTGGCACATCATCAGGTGAGAATATAGTGTATATTTACTGGCTATGTGAGGAGCAATACCTGTCAAATACAGCAATACCAGATCCTGGCACGTCATCAGGTGAGAATACAGTGTATGTTTACTGGCTATGTGAGGAGCAATACCTGTGTGTCAGCAATACCAGATCCTGGCACGTCATCAGGTGAGAATACAGTGTATATTTACTAGCTATGTGAGGAGCAATACCTGTCAAATACAGCAATACCAGATCCTGGCACATCATCAGGTGAGAATACAGTGTATATTTACTAGCTATGTGAGGTGCAATAACTGTCAAATACAGCAATACCAGATCCTGGCACATCATCA